CAGGATGCTGGGTGCCAGCTGCTCGGCGGGGGGAGGAAAGATGGGGCATAAAAGAGGAAGGGGGTAAAGGAGGGGGACAAGGGGAGGGAAGGTGGGGCATTGGGAGGTAAGGAAATAGGGTTAGAGGGGGGGGAGGAATGTGGAGGAATGTCTTGCGCATTTCTGGTTCTCTTTGCCCACGAATCTGGTTTTTTGATAATATGCTTAATGTGATTCCCATCAATTTTATTCCTATTTAGGTCTCTTCTTCTGTTTGATTATTAGTCACTTATATGTCTGAACTATATTATCGTTTCTATTTAGCCTTCATACAATCTTCTCACCACTCATTTACATACTAATTCCAATATCATCGAAATTATCGTAATTATCATCTTCAATTAAATCCTGATATTTTCTCGATATATTCCCAATCATCCATACCTCAAACATTGGTTCTTCACGATAAACTATTATGAATGGTATTTTTTAATACCTGAAAATTTATAATTAATCAATTACTAATTAATTAATCCTTCACCTTTTTAATATGTGTTCAGGCGGTTCACATCTGATTCTATCGTGGAACTCCACAGCATTTCCCATAATTTATTTCTATTGGTAATTGTTTCCCATAATTTATTTCTATTGGTAATTGTTATTTTAAAAACTATGTTTCTCGTGCAATCAGTTCAATCAGTAATTTTGGTTTTCTCCGTTTAGTCTTTTAAATTATTTTTCTAAATGGGTGGGTTGGTTGGAAGGTGGGGTGAGCTCTGCTGCTGCAGGGGCTGCACAAGGTGGGTAGTGATGCCCTGAAGGGGGTATGAGCAGATTTGTGGGGAATACTCTATTCTGGGGCTGAGGGGAGATTTCAACCTCAGTAGGGGCAGTTTAGGGTAAGGGCCAAGTGGAGGCATATTTTGGGTGGGAACTGAATGCCTCNATGCCTCTGCAAGGTGGGTAGTGATGCCCTGAAGGGGGAATGAGCAGATTTGTGGGGAATACTATTCTGGGGCTGAGGGGAGATTTCAACCTCAGCGGCGGCAGTTTAGGGAAAGGGCCAAGCAGAGGCATATTTTGGGTGGGCACTGAATGCCTCTGGGGGACTGGGGAGGGTGTGGGGCCGTTCTTAGCTGGGGCTGATAAGGAACATCTGTGATAAGGATATTCTTTTTTCGGCGGAGGCTGCAACGGGACAGGGGTAAAGGGGAGGGTGGGGGGGGATTTTCCATGCTCAATTGTGATATCCATGGAAAAAAAGAAATTAATAAATCATGTTATATCCATTTTTTCTGGTGTTCTGCAATTCTTGGCGGCACTCGGCCTTCTTCCTCATTCGGGATATAGGATTTAAGAGATGGTCGAATCCGGGCTGATATCTACGTAGTTGCTTTTTTCTGTGCCCCTGGTATGCCAATGCCAGAACGATGCTGGCAGGAGATGGGCCTCTGCCCTGTAACCTGCAAATGACAGGAGTGTGAGGCCTTGTAGAGAGATCCGGGGATTAGGCGAGCAAGGAAGACAGCCTATGGGTCCAGGTTTAGTCTACGTGGCGAGAACAGGATAGCTATGGTTGATGTTGGCTAGGATGGCATTGTCTCTGAGATGTAATGTCCTGGCTCAGGGAGGGCTAGGGGTCGTTCTAGGATTAGAAGGCCAGATTTGCTGATATAGCATATACTTCTAAAAATTTTCACATACTAATCCCCATCATCATTAGCATAATCATCCTTAGTATCATTAGTATCATTAGTATCATTATCTCACATTTCTCATACAATCATTAGAAGTTCATTATCATCATCATCATCAGCAGCAGCAGCAGCAGCAGCATAATCATCATCATATGAGGGACGCTGAGCCCAGTTCTCAGCTTGTTCAGTTCGGTCTCTCCGGGTAGACTGTGAGGACCCCGGCTTCAATCTTCTCATTGGTAATATCAGCCTTGGGCACTGGGCCCGGTTTGTTTAAAAAAAAAAAAAAAAAAAGTTTGGCGAGGACCCCACCACGGAGGACCAAGTGTGCTTGGAAAACCCTTTGGAAATCAGTTGAGCCAATCATTGCCTGTCTCCATTGGCAATAATTTGTTTGTTTGTTTTTTTTGTTTTTCATTTTTCTTTTTGTGGCACTCTTCGTCGCTATTGGCTGGTGTCTCCCGTGAAACTTTTCCAGGATCCGCATGCCCTCCCCCTACCTTCTAGAGTCGGCACAAAATTGCGGCGAGGAATCCTGTGAGATTTTTCCAGGCGGCAGACTATGGCCTGGACCCCACAGGAATTACGCTGGAAAAGATGTCTGCCCAAGAAAGACGGTGGAAGAATTTTGGAAACTCTGGAAAGATTTCCGCGGCGACCCCACCGTGGAGTGAGTTTTGCGGCAAAATGACGTCAAAATTTTCCTGAACAGGAAACTCCCCTGCCCACCGTCCCAAAAAGGAAAGTGGTGGTTTGTCCTGGTGGTCGGCTAGGGAGCGTAGGAACCAGTGAGGTCCCCTAACGGGTGATGTTGAGGCGGCGCTTGCGGAACAAGCCCCATGGCCGGACACCTTCTCGTCCAACCGGGGGAGGAGACCTTGGACACTTTCGAGATGTCGCCCCCCACGACACTCTCCACTCGGCAGAAAATCACAGCGATTGTCCGTCCCACGAGACTTTTCCAGGCCGCGAACGAAGTGAAAACAATTCCTGACCTCTTCCAGGCCAAAAAATGGGGGCTGTAGCCCGTGGGGTCCTGGGAAACAGTTCCACGGAATAAATTGCAACTTTCCAGGACCTCTTCCGCAGGGGGTGGGACCCAGAAAGTCCTGCGGCGAAGTTTTTCCTTTCCGCATTCCTGTGGGGTCCAGGCCTATGTGAAATCGCAAAATGATGTTTTTCCAAGCCGCAATCTTCGGTCTGTGGGGTCGCGGAAAACAGTTTGCGAAATGAATTTTACATTTTCCTAGACATCTGCTGCAGGTTGTGGGGTCCTGAAAACAGTTTCGCGGCAAAGTTTTTCCTTTCTGCGGTCGTGTGGGGTCCATCCCTATGTGAAAACACAAAACAATGTTTTTCCAAGCCGCAATCTTCGGTCTATGGGGTCTCGGAAAACGGTTTGCGGAAGAAATTTCACCTTTTCCTGGACATCTGCTGCAGGTTGTGGGGTCCTGGAAACAGTTTCGTGGCAAAGTTTTTCCTTTCCGCAGTCGTGTGGGGTCCAAGCCTGTTTTGGTTGTCCCCCCCCTATTGGGCGATAACAGCATGTCCGTAGCCCTGTCCAGTGGACCAGGGAACGGCTTCGGGCGGACAATGGATGGGCCTGTGGGTTGGCAAGGAGTTTCCAACCATGGACATGCCCCCCCCTACTCTATAGAAAGGGAACAAAAATGCAGCGGAAACTCCTCCACAGCCACTTTTCCGACCGGAAACCGATGTGAAAACAAAAAATGTGGCATTTCCAGATACCGTTTTCCAGGCTGTGGGGTCGTGGAAGCCTGGAAAACCTCACCGCCATCCTGAAATTGGCTTTCCGGAGGGCCTGCGAGATAAGCTTTTCCACGCCGGTTTTTCCATGATTTTTCCCTGTGGGGTCCAGGCCTTATACCACATTCCTTGGGGACAATGCGGCCATTGGGCCGCTGGTGATAAATTTCATCGGCAGCCTTTTTGTTTTGTTTCCAGCCTCCAAAACTCACGGGGCCTCATCCACAGCTGATGTATGGGAAAGGTAGCGGGGTTTAAAACCACTAGTTCACATGAACCTTTTTCTTATTTTCGGAGGGGGTGGGGGGGGGATGGGGTGTGCACCTTATGAGACCACCACCCTCCTTTTCCTCATGAGCTGCAACAATTCTCCTGGGGGGGGNTTCTCCTGGGGGGGGTGTAAAGGGGGGAAGAAGCTGGGGTGGGGTGGGGTGGGGGCGGGGGGGACGAGATCAAGATCCATGAGAGAAGAGAAACTATCTTTGAGAACTCTTGTTTGCTAGTCACAGTTAACATCTTTTTTCGTTTCTTTTTTTTAGTTGTAGTATTTTACTCATCTGCAGACGACAGAGTTCGAACTCAGGTCTGTCTTTCAACAGTTCAGGGGTGTACCAACTTAGCTAGGCCAGTTGGTTAGCAAGGCTTGTGCTCCACCAGCTTAAACCACCAGTACTTGGCCCAGCTATCGTTGCCGAGCCTGGAACCCCCCTGCGTGCCAATTTTTGCTGAAGCGCCAGGGTACCGTTTCAATTTTTTTTGGCTGGCGTTTCCAGCCATTGTGGTCCGGTACCCTGAAGCCCGCACTTTGCGTAGCGTTAACGGCAACGGCCCGCGGCCGGTGTATGGGCCAAGTACTGGTGGTTTAACTTTATGAATTTCTCAAGTTAGACCACCAGTACTTGGCCCAGTTATTGGCCGCGGGAAAAAAATAGAGTAGAAACATTTCTACTCTGATAAATGTGGGCGCTCCTGTAGTGGCCCGTACGTTTCCTAAAATTGTGGCTTGTTAACGGGCACGACTTTAGGAAGTACTGGTGGTTTAAACTGCTAGTACACAGCCCCAGCCCGGCAGAAAGTTTTTGTTGCCACGAGCAAAACTCGGAGGCGCCGTGTTGCCAGGGGCACCGTTGAAAAAGAAAACCGGTGGCCTCCAAAGTGGTGCGGGTTTCATGTTGACACCCGCGGGGAGATGTGTGCTGTATTGGTGCTTTAAGCTGGGCTCCACTGCCGAAAAGGGGGAAACTCTCAATCTAAGCCGGTGGAGCACAAGCCTGACATTTTTTAAGCTTGTGCAATAGTTTGAATTACGAGAAAACCACGGCCCAGACAGGGTTAGAGTTTGAAAATGCACTTGAGGCAAAAGGGCTGGTAATGGTGAATGTATATAACCTAGGTTTCGGGTCAAGTGGGGTCACGTGGGGGTGTGTTGTGTTCGCGGGATTGCCTGTGAAGTGCATTTTCAGAAGTTACCCCTTGAATTAAATTGCTGCACATGATTCCTCTGTGACTCTATGCAGTAGTTTCTCACTCTCTTTTTTCTCCTCTTTTTTTTTCCAGCTGTCGTTGCCAAAAAGAGAGGGGTTGATCACCATCGGATTGCCGAAGGGTAGTCTTCAGCAGGCAACAGCAGATCTATTCTTAAGGGCAGGATACAATATCAAGATCCATGAGAGAAGCTATCTGCCGGATGTGGACGACAAGGAGATCAATGTGGTCCTATTCAGGGGCCAAGAGATAAGGTAAGCTGGGGCAGGGGCTGGCTTTGTGGGGTTACGGGGGGTTGCATTTGTACTACATACCTGCAAATCTTGACGAAGGGAAAAAGCATAGCTTCAACCCCCTCCCTTCTGTGCGTCCTTCTCCTTTCTGATGTATATGTGGGTGTTTTTGTCCATGAGGATGTTCTACAAAGGTGTTTTCATCCCACTTGCATAGATTAATTAAGGGATACTGTCTGTAGATACCAAAGATCAACGGCCAGTGTCATTTCCATCTCTTAAACCACCAGTACTTCTGAGCCACTTTTCTCCAATGCTGGAAATATGCTGCGCGCCAAAAACAATGAAGCGGCGGAAGTTTCTTTTGACTGGCTCTGCCGGCCATTTTGCTCCGGTAGGCCCGAAAGTTGTGGTGTCTATATGACAAGGGACCATGGCCGTTGTATGGACCAAGTACTCGTGGTTTAATCCATCAGTGCAGGGTTGCTGCGGAGAATGTAGTACGGCATATTGTACTATATAGTATATTTCAAAAGTTTCACTCCAATAAGGACCTCATTGTACTGATCACCCCATCCCGATTTTCGTAGTGATAACTCACCCCAATGAAAAACTCACCGGAACGCGTCTCCACTGCACACACTCACCCCCAATGTACTCTGGGTGGGCATCTAAAACAGAAAAACCACCGACTGACCTAACTCGGTTGGTACAGTCACGAACTGTTGAAATACAGACCTGAGATCCAATCCCACTGGAATCAGATGAGTGAAAGTAACTTAAACCTACCGATCAGATGAGTGAAAGTAACTCAAACATACTGATTGGATCGAGCAAAACTCACCACAATCCTTCCTTTGCAGGCGGGAAAAAGTGGCGGTGCAGTGACTACGCACCTTGCACCAGCCAGTTTTCCACTGTTTCCATGTTTGTGATTGTTCGGGTGAAGGGAAAAAAAAAAAAAAAAAAAAAAAAAAGAGTGAGTGAATGAGGCGACAGAACTTTCCTCCCAACCAGGTTGAGATGAGTAGCTCCGCCAGGCCTTTATCAAGGAGCACAACATGATCTATACAGGAGAGAAGCCGGGGGGGGGAGAGGAAACGCAAGGAGCATCGCAGTATCCGCACGGGATTGAGGATCACACTTGCATGGACTGTGTGTGTGTTATTGGAGAAAGGGGAGGAGGAGGGGGGCAGAAGGGGCGGCCAGGTGGGGGGGGAGGGGGGGGAAGGGTATGACTTGCAAGATGATGCCTAATTCATTTTCTCATATGCAAAAGGGACCAATCAATGAGGACACAAAATTTCTGAGCTGGCCTAGCTCAGTTGTTACACCCCCGAACTCCTGAAATACAGACCCGAGTTTGAACTCCAGTGGAAATAAATGAGTCAAAGCAGGACAGCCTATGTGAGCAAAGTCAAATGCAGAACCACAAAGCTGAGAGCACACCAGGGGACAACACACTCAAACCGAAGCCTCCAAGAAGGGGCCCATTTTAGGAGGATGCTCTTATCACCTCCTCCAGTGGAACCCCGCCAGGAGTTTTCTCTCTCTCTTTCTTCAAAAAAAAAAAAAAAAAAAAAAAAAAAAAGGGACAACACACTGAAACCGAAGACTCTTGATAAACGAAGCCCAACTTCTTGCCTCCACTCATCAATACAACGACAATATAGCAGCTCTCTATGTTACCGGAGTTGCCCGACCCGGGCCGCCCACCGGGGCGACCCGGGCGAACTTGCACGGGGGTGACCTGCCTGGGGTACCCCGGCGACACCAGAAAGGAGGCAATTTTTTTTCTTTTTCGTTTTTGGGCAGGGGGGCAATTTTGCGCCCACTGACATGTGGCCGAATCGGGCCTTATCTTCGAGTTTGATGATATCTCACCAAAGGGTGTCTGTGGGGTACAAACAGGGTTCGAAGGGGCTGGAATGGGCATAAAGGGGCCTAGAGGGGTATCATATAATTTAGTTTTTTTTTTTCTGGATTCCATAGCGAATTTTGTGGTCACCCTCAGGCAAAAGATGTTTGGTTTGCAATTCTGCATGACATAGATTGTTTTCAGATTTTTTTTTTTTAATTATTATTTTTTTGCACTGGGACTTCCCTGGACCTTGACCGGGACTTTGTCTGGACCTGGCCCGGGCGGGCCACCCGGGCCAATCTGAGGCAACCTAGGCGACCCGGCTGGTAACACAGGTAGCTCTACTATGATGTGACCACCTGTACTACGTTCCTACTCTCTCTCTCTCTCTCTCTCTCTCTCTCTCTCTCTCTCTCTCTCTCTCTCTCTCTCTGTGTCTGTCTGTCTGTGTACACACCTCCTACTTCTCTCCCTCACACTTTTCGTCACTTTGTCCACTCTCCTCTAGGCTCTCGCCTACGGTCTTCCCCTGAACATTATGCATATGTGTTGTCTTCGAGTTTTTTCAAAAACTTTGGAAATTCGAATAGAAAGCACATGCGTTGTATTTAAACATAGGCGCTGTTCGAATAGAACACGTGAGTTGTATTCGAATAGAATGCAGCCTATGCGTTGTATTCCCTTACAACGCATATGCATTATGTTTGGGGGAAGCCGATGCATGTGTGTTTACGACGAGCGTGCTTCTTGGCCATCACCAGGTAAGTGCACCTGTCTCCACCGCTGTCCTTCTCCCAGTCACCCACAGTTGGGGCCAACCCACTTCCTCTCTGCCACAGGGACGAACAGCTCTGCTGCTGCTCCTCACCTGCCTTCCTCAATGAGCGCTGGACTGGCTGCTGTGTGCTCGCCGCTCTTGTAGAGCTACTGCCTTCACACGATAGAACAACAAGTCATTTCCACTGTATCTAGACTGAAACGTGCCCTGATTACAGCTTCAATGACCACACGATATATTCGGGTGAAGACTGTATTCCGAATGGCATTGTAAAAAAAATGCAGCGCCCTCCTCCCTTTTGTCACTTCCTGGAGGCCGCGTCTGACTGGCCCGGACCTGGGTTCTAGCCTCGGTAACTAAGTCAGAGACTGGGCGCCCTGGGCCTAAAGGTTAGGAGGAGAGGCTGCGGTCTACCCTCCTTTCAACTGTGTCACCCGCCAGCCTTTACTGAGGGCTGGCAGACTTTCTTTCGGCCGCCTGCTGGAAACCGGGTCCAGCGTCCCTTGGAGATACAACCTTTGATGAGAAATTCAAGGAATAAGAGGAAAACTAGCAGTACCCAGAATTGCAGAAACTACCTCTTCACCCTTCCTGACCTTCGTTGTTTTTTAATTGTTTTTTTTTTTTAATGAAAAAAGAAAAGAAGGGAAAAAGCCTCACTTAGCAGATGCAAAAGCTGGAAATATCTGTGAGGTTTCAGGCCTCTGCGAGCCTCAAGAGGGGCTGCCCACAGAAAATAGGCCCAGGCCTAAGTTACCGTCACYTT